AGGGTCGAAAAGTAGGCTCGCTAAAGCGGCGGGTGTGGAGCCATGTGGTGAAGTGAGACATGAAAAGTTGCACGCTGTTGTGGCGCGAAGCACATTTCCAAGTCAAAATGTGCAAAGCACACAATGTTCTGACCACTTTTGGAGGTTGAGATGTCGAAAAAGTGCATGCCGTTGTGGCGCGAAGCGCGTTTCGAAGTCAAAAGTGTAAAAAACTGAGGGGTTCAGAGCACTTTTGGAAGTTGAGATATTGAAAAAGTGCACGCCGGTATGGCGCGAAGCACATTTCAAAGTCGACATGTACAAAGCACCATGTTCAGACCACTTTTGGAAGTTGAGATGTCGAAAAAGTGCACGCTGTTGTGGCGCGAAGCACATTTCAAAGTCAAAATGTTAAAAGCAGCGCATGCTCGACCACTTTTGAAGGTTCAGGTGTGGTTTTGCGTGGCAGGCGCAAGGGGTTCTGCACCTTGCCAAAAGTGAGCAAACCGTGAGGGTTTTGTAGCATGTCCAAAAACGATGGCAGGCGTGGGAGATTTGCAGAGGATTTGCAAAGATGAATTTCGCGTGGCAGGCGCAGTACAAGAGACATGTTCATCAGAGATGTTAGGAGTTTAGGGCGCTGATTTCTTGAGAGGGGTTGCATTTTGGAGCATCAGATCTGTAGGTTTGCCAAGATGATTTTGCGTGACAGGTGCCATGCAGGCGCAGCACTTTACGCAGATGGAGTGGAAAAATCGCAAAACACATTGGTACGAGGCCGTCAGCTCTGCACTCAACTTTCCAGTTTTGAAGGAAGTCTCGCAGAATTGCTTCGTTTTTGATGTTGCCAACTTCGAAAATTGAGGACGTCTCGCAGAATTGCTTCGTTTTTGATGTCTGTGGAACCGCAGCCGCCTCCAGCACAAAAGCACCCCGCGCACCGAAAAATGCTACCTCTAGAGATGCCAGGCCCAGCCCAGCTCGCAGTCTACCGCCTGAAAGTGGTGAAACCCACAGAGGCTGAAGTAAGACGGGCACTGCACGAGCTTGGGTACAGCAGGTCCAGGATCAGCCAACTCCTGGCGGAGTGCGCGCAGCACCCGCCCAGGAACTGGCTGCAACGGCAGCGGCAGACTGCGCAGGACCAACCACAATGCATTCATGATGACAAGAAGAATTAAATAGCACGAATGATGCACCATCAATTATCTTGATTCTATCATAGATTGCTTGAGCAAGTAGGTTAATCACCGATGGCCCGATACATTTCCTCGGACAACGACTTGAGAACAGAGTTTATGAGGTCTAAGAATAACAATATCTAATGTTTATATATAGACATGAGGATGATCGGCCATTCAGGATTGAAACATTTCTTAGTGCAGAAAGATCAATGGATACAATAAAAAGGAAAAATTCGAAAAAAGAGGTTACACACCTATTACACACCTACAGTAGATATACTGTTTATGTAAATATCAACATATATACATATATATATATTTATTTATATGTGTGTGTATGCCTCTACGATCTAGCTATGCCTATCTGTATAATTCTAGACCCCTTGGACCCCCTGATTCACATCGAAGGAGGAAGTGGATGGCCACGTGCTAGAGCTGCTGCGGGTGCGGCGCCTGAAAGCGGGACTGCACAAAGCAGCGCGCCGGTGCCTGCGCGAGGTTCGTCGCCACCACAGCCGCCGGGCCTTCATGGCCCGGAACGCCCGCTTGGTGCGGGCTCTCCTGGCACAGCTGCAAAACTAGGCCGGGGAGTGCGGCTGGGGCCCGGAATGAGCACGAGCCAAATCATTTAATTATTCGCTAAAGGCAACTTGCATCTTCCATGTCACGAGACATATCCATCCCACTTGCGAAATGCAATCCAGGTGTTTCAAACCATTATGGTTATAAGCATTGGTGTGCAACTTCAAGACTGCTCATTCGAAATTCATATTTGGCAAGACTAGTTGTATAAAAGCCCGGTCTTTACATCCCGGACACCCCGAAAACATTGACTGTACACCATGATATAGATCGAAGGATGTAATGGCCATTCCAATTCGCTAAATTACGACATCCCAATTCCCATCCACTGGCCTCTGCACACGGCTCGCAGATGCTATCAAGTTCAAAAAGTTGAGGAAGTCTGGCAGAACTGCTTCGTTTTCAAGCTTTCAGACTGAAGATAGACAGATAGATAGATAGACAGCTACAACTACAACTACCGCTACCACTACACTACACACTACTACCACAGCTACAAATACAAATAAACTACGCAACATTACACTACACTAATTGCACTACACTACATTAACTACATCTAATTACACTGCACTACACTAATTACACTACAACAACAACAACAACAACTACTACGACCACAGCTACAACAACAATATCAACTCACTGCACCAATTGCACTGCAGTACGCTACAACAGTACGCTACGACTACAACTACAACTACAACTACACTACATTACACAACACTACGCTACACTACACTAATTACATTACATTACGCTACAACTACAACTACAACTGCAACTGCAATTGTAACTACCACTAAATTGCACTACGCGACGCCACACTAATTACACTACACCACAGTACAACTACAACTACACTACCTTACACTACACTACACTAGACTACACTACACCACACTACAGTACACAACACTACAGTACACTACAGTACACTACAATACACTACACTAATTACACCACACCACAACTACAACTACAACTGCAACTGCAGCTACGCTACACTTATTATATATACATTACAACTACAACTCCACTACACCACACTACAACTACAACTACAACTGCGCTACACCACACTACAGCCAGCAATTGTGGGTGAGGTGACCACTGCAACCATTGCAACCACTCCAAAAAACACAGCTTCAACCACCTTTCGGTCCATCAGTGGATTCGCTCTGCCATCCGTGATTCACAACAACCAACCTCTCCTATAGGTTTCGTTTTTTGGAAACTTCCGCCACCGCCTTGTGCGGTACTACTGGTATTAGTCACCAGAAATTTCAATTTCTTGCAATTTCTTGCAAATGATCGGCCTGTCTGCACCAGAAATTGCAATTTCTTGCAAATGATCGGCTTGTCTGCTAAGGACATTCCTCAACTCAATGTTCTTCCTTGCGTTGGTGCACAACGCACTGCTGGAGGGGCTCCCTGGGTGGGAGGCAACACTGACAACAGATGCAATGTCATGTCAAGCATGAAACAAAACCATTAGAGCACATGGTGTATCCTGATCGCCTGATCACCATAGCCATTCTTGCTTTTTTTTCCGAAGAAAGCGGGCCTTTGTGTCAGAAACCATGGCCATGATGAAAGTCCAAGGGCAAGTGGCACTGCAACGAAATAGCGCCGTGATCAAATTGACCCCTACGCATCAACATCCCAATGCACAGCCGCAAGCGTGGACGCAGCGGCCAACACCCGATGACATCGCCAGCCTGATTCGGTCAGGTGCCAGAGAGGTTCACCCCTCCCGCCAGCCATTGATGCGAGCGGCGGTCTCATCGTCAATGGTCACTGTCCAGAGACGACTTGGCTTGAAACTGGCATGCATGGACAATGGACAGAGCAACCTTCTCAGGCTCGTCGGAATGGTTTGAGCAATCCGAAGAGAGGCTCTCGAGGTCCTTTCCCACCCACCCAAGTGCTCTCAGTGTTCGTGCACCTATGTGGCAAGTTTCTTTACATGTGCTATGCTGCAGCTACATATGTGTGCAGGATGTGTCCAGGCGCATGTGCCCAAGATACTTTCCTGATGCAGCGCTACAATAGGCGATAAGATAAGAAGGAAGACAAGGCATTCAAGGACATATCTGATACACAAAATGTAGGTCTTGGGGGGTAGCATATATATATACACATATACATACATACATGCATGCATGCATGCATGCATACATACATACATACATACATACATATATACACATTTTCACATACCCAATGTTCCGCGAAATCCAAATCAACCACAGAGATCGAGAGAGAGAGAGAGAGAGCGAGAGAGAGAGAGAGAGAGAGAGAGTGGAAAGACAGCACGGGTTTGATCCAAGTTTCGCAGGCAGAGGCGTTGGTGATAGATCTACGGGCAGCTTTTTCACCTTCACATGTTGAAGTTGACGAGAAATGGCTGATTTCAGGGTTTTCCCCACGTCAGGAATCTTCCATATCTCTTTAATCTCGGAAGTGGCACATCCCTAACTCCAAACACGTTTCCCCTTGCAAAGGTCCGCTAGACTTCCAGGCCACTTCGTGCCAGAAGAGCCGATGAACGTCGATGAAGAACGAGCTTCCATTCTGCCAATTTCTGGATATGGGGGATTTTTAAAATCGGAACCCCAAATAATCACAACATGTTTGTTGAACAAAAAATCCATCTGAAAAGACAATTGCTCTGGAGGTCTCCCAGTTAAAATCAAAATCTATGGTGGAATGGTGGATGCAGGTAGACCAGAGGTGCCAAGGGAAACTTCGTTGAAAAGCAGCCTCGATGCATTTTGTTTCGGAAACGTGCTGTCCCGAGGCGATTGCTGGTATGATCTTACTGAAACCATTCAGGAAAGTTAACGTTTTACACTTGAACAAAATGACCTCGTCAAATATTAAGGAAAATGATTAGAAAAAATGCAACAGTAGAACATCTGGAATGTGGTATGGGTCACTTGGATATTATAGCATTGCTTGGCCCTGGAGTTGACTTGCGCCGATCATCTCGTACTAACATGTGTCCACAAATGCCATCGAACCGCAACGTCAATCCCCTCGAGAACTACAATTATGAAGCAGATGCTACTGGTAAAGGTATCGTTTGCCCATTCAATCTCAGTGGCAAGAACAAACAACACATGCGTATTTTTCAATCTCAGGCACATCAGCATGCATTCCTGACCCTAAACAGTTTTCATGCAAAGTGACCTCAAATAGAGGTCGCATTGAAGACGCCAGTGTGTATTGAGCAAGATTGGCGTAGGCATTGAGGCCCAAAGCACTTTGCCTCTGGTCGGCGTACCATGTCGGCCGTAGCTTCTCGCCTTCGTTGTCGACTTGGCGATCGATTTCATGGATCTTCCCTCTCGCGACTTCGGCCACTTAGGCGATACGCCCCAGCAGCGGCACCGCTCGCAGCGCAGCAGAATCTGCAGCAGCGGCGCCGCGAGTCATGGGGGATGGGGGTGCCCTTGCAACCCTTGCAACCCTTCCAGGCCCAGAGAAGATGGAGTTCATCCTCCCCAATGCCAGGTGGTTGCCTAGAGACGTACCTCCAAATGAAAGCCAATGGAGAGATCCAGGTGGATCCCAGGCAGGAAGTTTGCATGAAGATGCTGGATGACCTGGCGAAACAGATTGATGGCTACTCCCCAAAGATGACGAGAGCTTCCAAGCCGGCGGCTTCTGTCCCAAGTGGCGGTGGTGGATTCTTCGGCCTATTTGGAGGCAGCAAGGCTCCACCACCCAAGGCTGCTAAGGCAGCAGACGCGCCGTTGCAGCCTGTGGCTGGACAAAAAGGACTCTACTTGTGGGGTGGCACTGGAACTGGCAAAACCTTCATGATGAATATGCCCCTTGGCCACGGAAGGGGTTGCAAGTGTCGGATTTGGGCTTGCATAATAAAGGGTGATGCAAAGAAATCAGCGGAATCATGCGGAATCAGCGGGTCTGTGGGCAAGACACCTTGATCATCCTTGATCAATTCTATCAAATTTCCTTCTTGTTTTACTCTTGACCCATTTCAGATGGGAGCTGACGAGCTCCAGCTGCCGGGTTCTCCTGGGTTGATCGGTGGCCAAGTCTGGATTCCATGGATGCTTCCCAAAGCCGTGAGCCTGGTAGGATGGTAGACGCCCTATAGCAACTCCCACAAAGATGGACAAGTCAAATTCCAACATGGCAAACTACTTTTCCACATTCGCCTCTCTCAAATTCTACCTGGTGCAGGTTCTATGACAAGATCAAGGTTCGTAGCAAGAATCTTGGAGGATCAACTGGTGATTTCAGTAGAAACCAGTCGTCCACACCAGCAGCCTTTGACCCAAGGAAGCGAATCCATTTTCATGAATGGATGATTGATGTTCACTCGCGCTCCTTGGCTCATTACTGTTATTACGGGACAAACCAGATGGGCACCCACCTTATTATGGCATAAGTTTGTAGAACTTTGGAGGATTCCAGAGGCAATTTATGGAGGCGTTCGCACTTATGATTTGCAAACTGTAGCAGCCCGCATGAGGTTTGCACAAGAAACAGAAAGGCAGCAGCAGCAAGACTGACAGCAGTGCTGATGACATGGTGGAGCAAGTTGCAGCAGATGCCTGTTGAGACAAGCCGGAGCCAGTATTGATACTGCATTTTTTTACTGCACATGATTGTCCTTTTTGAAAATGGAAGTTGTATAGGTCTTTGGCATTTCAAAGTGCAGAGTCAAATTACTACTGAAATGCTAGTGTAGTGTATACCCATCCCATCGCATACCCATGTCTAGCCATTTGGATCCATTTGGCATGTAGTACAAGGACATGATGAAGGAAGCATGGCTCTTGTGCTTCGACGAGTTCCAAGTCACACACATCAGCGATGCCATCATCATGAAACGCATCTTTTCCGTGCTCTTTGAGCTGGGCGCTGTAGTGGTGGCCACCTCAAATCGTCCCCCACAAGACTTGCTACTTGGAGTTGAAGCAGCTTACTTTCACTCGAAAGCTGACAAAGGCAGGAGAAGATTTGAATTGATGATATACCATATAAATCCATATATTATATATATATATGAATAATGATATATAATGATTATAATGGGAATATCGCAATATGGATTATACATACATACATGCATGCATGCAGACAGACAGACAGACAAACAGACAGACAAACAGACAGACAGACAGACAGACAGCCAGACCGACCACCTCCCTACCTACCTACCTACCAACCTACCTACATACCTACATACCTACATACCTACATACCTACATACCTACATATATATATATATATATACAGCCATATTGCCATTGGTGATCTCAGGTGGTCTCAGATTTCATGCAATCAGCTTGCACTCCGAAGTTTTGTGCACCATTACTCATTTTTCGCGGCACCCAGTGGTGAGGTACTTGAATGGACTGAATCGGCCATTGTTTTTGCCATTTATTCCAATGCTGGAAGCTTTCACCAATGTTGCCCGGCTGAGCAAAAAAAAGTATTGGGTCTCTTCATTGCTCGGACCGTTTTTTTTTTTCAAAGCTCAGGTGCATGACATCGGTGCCGAAGTGGACTATCGAATCTTGGAGATGCCTTGAATGCCTTGATACGTAATCGCACCATATCGCACCAAACTTCATAATGATTTGGAATCTCTTCGTAATGACTTCCGCAGTTTGAGGATTCGAAGTTGTTTGCCCATGCATTTCGTTGATGAGATTTGACTCGAAAGATTGCAACTTTTGGATATGAGGCAAGGTTTTGGCTGGCACAGGGCAGGCGTTTGAAGCAGAGGTTTGCAGAAAGGTCCCGAGATCAACTACTTGATCTTACTCGACCCCTAAGACCCAGAGACTTCAACAATCAGATGATGGGGCATCATTTGCAGTTGGCAATGCACAGGATTCTGGCTGTTGAACAAAGTCCAACAGAATCCAAGTCCCAAAGCCCGATGGAACGTGGATGACTAGATCGCTGCCGTCCTTTTTCTTTGACCCAGGAATGTGTTCGACCAGAGATGATGACGATGATCGGGTCTACCTCACTCCGAATGGTGAAAACGAGAAGAAGGCCTTGGAGGCGAAGTTTCAAAGGGTCTCCCATGGCCTTGTCCGCGAGGGCGTTCAGGACACCGCATCCAGGGAGATTGGAAAAAGCCACGTTTTTTTTTTGCCAATGGCCATTTTGGGAAACTTTTTGAACTGTATCCACCTAGTTTGGGCCCAGAACATACGGGGAAAACCAAAGAATCCCCGAAGTCCTGGTTGGACTGCTGAGCAGCCTCTGGACTGTATTTGCAGAGCTGTTTCCTAGCTGGTTGCAACTCACTGCAGTTGGAAAAGTCATGCATGCACTCTGTGATTGGAAAAAAAAAACAGATTTTCAAAACACAAATCTTTGCGAGGTTGAATCGCAAGGTCGACGAATAGTTGTTCCACGATGCGCAAAGTATCGCACTCAGAAGTGGGTCTGCCTGAAAGCGGGGTATGCCGGTATATCTCCGAAATTGTATTTGAATAGAGAAAATACTGATAAACCATTGGATTTTGGCGTACCCTATTTTCAAGTAGACACTCGGGGATTGCAAAGTTCGAGTGGGTACTGTTGTCAGCACATTCACTGCCATCTGTGGTTCAGATAAGGCACAACCAGTTCACCTCTCATACATTTTTTGGAGCTGTCCTTGCCAGATGAATCCCCTAATATTGAAACACTGCCCAGAAAACATGGTGGATTGGGATACCACTACATCTTGGGACCCACACTTAGTAGATCTTAGGCTGTGTTTCATAGCTTTCATATGGGGGTTTCTTAAAATGGGGGTATCCAGAGATGGTTGGTTTATAATGGAAAATGAATGATTTGGGGGTACCCCCATTTTCAGGAAACCTCCATATGGATCCATATGGGGGAATTCGCAAAAATGGGAAGGCACAGTGACGTTGCTTTCTTCTCCTTTGTGGATCTTTGCGACAAGCCCTTGGGAGCAGCGGACTACCTGGCTGTCGGCCATGCATTCCATACTGCGACCCGACTGCGACATCATATTTTGGAAGTTAGATGTGCCAGTTGCGAAATGCCTTGTCTATGAAAATGATGGGAAAATAACAAAAGTGGCTGTTTCAATATGTTTAATGGAGGGAAACTGGTGATAAAGCATGGAATTTTAGGGATACAGCCAAATAGAACCAAGCAGCAAACCATACCAACAGATCAAGATGGCTGAACATCAACCTTTCGAAGCGGCAGATCCTTGCAATCTAGGTCTTTGTGGCAGACATTCCGCGACTGACGATGCAGGAGAGATATTTAGCCTCCGTTGCACATGCAGCTTGCTAGTAGATCTAGTAGCCTTCTGGCGAAGCTAAGGTTTGCCGCGATGACGGAGAAGTTGTTGATGATGTTGATGGTGTTGATGATATTGATGACGATGAAGATGACGATGACGAGGATGAGGATGAGGAGGATGGAGGGATGAATATATATATATATACATACTGAGAACAACAGAATGTTGTGATAAACATATGAATGAGTGCATGCAAGGGTCGAGGGTGGGCAAAACGCAGACTGGCCCAAAATACGGGTGACTTTTCAAAGGCTTTGAGCCACTCGCGATCGGCATGGTCGTGCTTCCGCCTGAAGGTGATGTACGGCCTCTGGGATCGATTGCCGAGGTGTTGAGATTGCTACGGGTTCCTCCGACATTATGGGAGGCATTCCTGGAACAAGTCGGGAATCGCGGCACAGAACTACGAGTCCTTGCGCGCTACCTCCCCATGTCATTGTACAAGGCTTGGGTCAAGCACAAGCTGCAGGGCAAGGACTTTCAGCAGTAGAAGCCGCTCATGTGGGGTTGGTCTGGCGAGTGGCAAGACTAGCTTTGCATCTTCAAAAGGGAGGAACTGAGGCTACGTTTGTGGACTTAGACCCATGGGAATCTAGAAGTTCAAATCAGGGACAAGGTGCAGGACAAGCGTCAGCGCCCAAGCCCAGCGGTTTGAAGGAGAAGGTGCTGAAGATGTCGGCACTGGTCGGTCAAACAGACGAATCAGAACTCATGCCCCCCCCGACGTGCTGAAGGCTGAAGGTGCAGTCTTGGAACCAGCGCTACGTCCAGATGATGGGCGATCACCCGATGGAGGAAGAGGAGCCCACCGATTCTCAAATGGCTGCATTGGATAGGCGAGTCAACGAACTTGGACAGGCGCCTTACATGGACATGGGCGTTTGGTTGCCGTTTGGTCGGAGGGCTCTGAAGAACCAGAAATTGAGGTCTTTCTTTCCGGTTGGAGATGGGACGTACATGGCACGAGAATTTCCGGGCCCCCAGAACTACATCCAGTGGCAGGCATCTTGGAAGGTGTTTCTGGTGGCAGCCATTAGCTTGGACATTTGTTCGTTGGCGTCCCTCCTGATGTACGAGAAACAGATTGAACGGCTGACAGTTCAGGGGCCTCGGAATTGGAATCTCATTGCGCATGCTGATGACAAAGCACGTGCTGAGAGACTAGAAAGGTTGCGAAGGAACCTAGTGATAGATGCTAAGGAGGGAAGACCTATCCCTTCAGACTTCGTGGAGGCAAGACCGTGGTTGGTGTGCTTCAGACTTTTGTCACAGGATGACAACTCCTGGAATGAACAAGTACGTCATCCAGCCACCTCTTGGCTAGCTGCAGGGGGGCGTGGGGCCCCAATGGCTTCCTCTGAAGCCCTTGCATTGGCTCATTTTCCAGGCCTTTCTGAAGGGCACGAAACTGAGAGCGGAGGTGGCGGTGAAAGAGATGACCGTAGGAGACAGGCCAACAGAGACAAAAGATTGGCAAAGCGCAAAAGAATTCAATCTGAGCGAGAAGAGTTGTCGCGCTTCAGAAGTTCGGCATCAACTTCGAAAGGTGGACAAGCTGGAGGAAAAGGGAAAGGGAAGGGGCAAGGCAAAGACCAAGCTGGCGAAGAAATTTGCTATAGCTGGGCCAAAGACAATGGCCCATGTGCAGGCCTTGCCCCTGGCAGTGATTGCAAATGCAAGGTCAAGCGCGTGCACAGGTGCATGCTGTGCTTTTCACCAGGGCACAACAACTTGCAGTGCTCTAAGAAGTGACATTTCGTGTGCTGGAAAACCCAGGGCTTCTTCGTTACGTGAGTGATGGATCAGGGAGCCTGTTAGGAAGGGTTTTCTGGGGGGGATTGACATGACACGAAGTTTGAGGGTTGTCACATTCATTGCATTTCATTTCGAAAGTTTGTCCAGTTGCAGTGCATGTTCTTTTGTATGGTAGGCTCAATGGCGAGCAGCTCGAGAAGCCCGCGTGACACTGAAGGTGCGTGCCATGGGCTAGATGCTGCGGTGCCTCCCAGGGTAGAGAACTGCCTCAAGAATGCAAAGGATTTCGGGGACTTCAAGAACCTGAGGGGTTTCAGATTTCTTCATCTCTTTGCAGGGCCGAAAGATGTCTTGGCGGAGGCGTTGGTGAAGGAGTGTGAAAAGGAGGGCATCAAGGTGAAGGTAGATTCATTTGATAAACTTCTTTGTGAAACTCATGACCTTGCTGCAGAACAACCCTTTGCCCAGATTTTGGAAAATGCGACGAAGGATGAATATGACGGTGGGCATGCGGGTTTTCCCTGTGGGAGTTTCAGCAGGGCCAGATACAACACCGCTGGAGACGGGCCACCACCGGTTAGATCGGGAGCAGAAATATATGGGCTCCCGACCAACAACAGGAAACAACAAGCTGAAGCCGACAAGGGAACGATTGGCAATCAGGTCAGCTCAGGTGACAAGTGAAATCATCCAGTCACAGCGGCGGAGATGTGTGCCCAATGTGGGCACATTGGAAAACCCACCTGGGAGCGAAACGAAAGAAGAAGGTCCAGCGTGGATGTTCCCGGAGCTCATCTTGTTGTAAAACGATTGCAAGCCACCACAGCAATTTTCAGCACATGTGCCTTTCAGGACAAGGTGAAGGACAAGTGGTTCAAGCCAGGACGATTTACGGGGTGCCTGGCTGAGTTGGGGTCGTTGGCAAAGAAGGGCAATTGCCCATCTGGCCGCAAGCATCAGTCCTTGGTGGGAAAAGCACTGACGGCAAGAGCGGCTGAATACCCAGAAGGGTTAGCCCGGGCGTACGCCTTGCTGGTGGTGAAGTCGTTTAAGACGACGTTGCAGATGGAGTGGTGGAGATTCCAGCTCAAGGTGAAGAAGGAGGAAGTATCTACGGCACAGGCAGATTGGTTGGCCAGCAAGCAGAAGAAGCAATTACCTCCAACCAACTTGGGTGAGCTCGCATCATCCAAGAGGGCATGGTCAGCGGAAGACGTGGAGAACGAGCTGAAGCCGTCGGAGGGACCATCCAAGAAGGCCAGAAGGGAAGGTGAGAACCAACACTTCATCGGTGGGATGAGAAACCCCGCGAAAGCCGTCTCAAGGTTGACGAAGGTGCTGGAGACGGGCAAGGACATCAGCACGGCAAAGGGCTATGGAGGACAGACGTGCGAGCTCAACGACGAAGTCCTGGGCGAGTGGAGAGAGACCTTCTTCTCAAAGCCAAGGACTTCGAGGAGGTCGTGTTGAGGCCGAGCGGAAGATTCAAATCTCCTCTCAATGCACGGCCTTGGGAAGCTTGGAGAAAAGCTTCAGGAGATCCAGAGCGCGACTTGGTGAGTTGGATAAGGTTTGGAACTCCGTTGGGTATGTCAAGTGACATCCCCTATTGTGGAATCTTTCCCATGACAGAGGACGAGGAGGCCAACTCAGATGCGGCGCCAGAAATGCAGCTGCAAATGGAAGTGGAAAACTACAAGGGCTTCAAAGAAGAACCAGAACACCCCCAAGTTGAAGTACAACGATACTTGGACAAAGGCTTCTGTGTCGAGCTCAGCGAGTCACAATTGCAGCAGCAGTTTCCAACTGGCACGGTGTCAAAGTTGGCCTTGATTGTCAAAGAGAAGGAGGACGGGTCCTTTAAAAGAAGAGTGATAATCGACCTCTTGCGCTCTGGAGGGAACAAGCGATGCAAAGTGCGCGAGAGAATAGTCTTGCCACGGATCGTGGATGTCAGGGACAGCTTGAAGTACCTGCGTGAGAACAGATTTGGTCTCATCTTGCGCGCACAACGTGAAGGTTGGGCGGACCAGGAAGAGTGCGATGAGATCGAGATGGTCTCGGTTGATATGGCCGAGGCCTATTGCCACCTTGCGGTTTGCGAAGATGAGCTGTGTCACTGTGTGGCACCGAGTGTGACGCCGGGAAGATTCTTGGTGTTCACGGCCATGCTGTTCGGATTTCGTGGGGCACCTCTGATTATGGGAAGATTTGCATCAGCTTTGGCAAGATTCATACAGTCTCTGATGCCTGCAGATGAGTTACAATCTCAGTTGTATATAGATGACCCTTTGTGGATGCTGCAGGGACCCAAGTGGAGACGGCAGGAGAACCTGGCCCTCATCCTGCACTCATGCGGAGCCTTGGGGGTCAAACTACAGTTCAAGAAGGGCTTCAGAGGCTTGGACGCGATCTGGATTGGACCGCGTATGGAGCTTCGACTTGCTGAAGAAGTTCTGGTGCTCTCCATCCCGCCCAAGATGATGAACGAGACTAGGGACATCCTGATGAGCTGGCACAACAAAGGTATGGTGCCGCTGAAAGAGGTCAGGACAGTGACAGGCAAATTGTCCTGGATTTGCGGGATATTGGCAAGGGCGAGAACATCCTCTATACGCGGTCATCGCACAGACAATGGAGGACATGAATTGGAGCACGCCCTCTCCAGACGTGATGACTCGCGCCCGAAGCTGAACCTGGTGGCCGTGCACCGAATGGAGCTGCCGAGAAGATGGTTCATTGAAATGTTTGACAAACTGGACAAGTTTGCATTGCGCCGTGAACCTCTTCGTGACGTACCAGCGCAGTTTGCTTTGGTCACGGACGCATCGCCGAGAGGAGTGGGTGCCATCTTGGCGGACATATAGACAGGAAGAATGGAGTTCTGGCCCCACTGGAGGCGATGGAAAATCCACTCAAGCGAGAGCACGCCGAGTGGATGGGCATACCATGGGACGATCCAGCTGGACAAGGACCTCTGGAGGCCTGGGCCATCCTGATGGCGTTGAGAAAGTGGAAGCACCGGATAAGGGTGCGCTTTGGTCATCAGGTCAGACAGCGTGGTTGCGCTGGCCACGGTGTCCCGAACAGCGGCGCCATCACCGGTCTTGAACTGGATCGGAGCTGAGATAGCGCTGCGGGCTGAAGAACTTCAGTTGGGGCGCTTTGTGCCCCAGCATGTGCCTGGGGCTTGGAACGTCGAGGCGGATTGGTTGAGCCGGCCTCACGACAGGGGACCAATGCCGGCACGACTGCAGGGCGTTCCTTTGAGACAATGTCCAAAGGAAAAGATCATGACATCTTCGCTGGCACCACCTGGCAGCGACTCAGGCTTGCGCTGGGGGCAGACATCGAAAGTGGTGTCAGCCGCATTCGAAGAGTTGTGACCACCCGAGCTGACAAAAGGAAGACACCGTCTTTCTCAGCTTGGGGAGGGGAGGGTAATAGGCAGGCAAGGTCGAACTTCAGTTGATCAACAAACGAAACGTGAAACGTCAAGGGATCTTGGTTGTGAATTGTTGCATGTTCATGTCTGGAGTTTGGATTTGGATTTTCTTTATTTGGCATGTTTGGGCATTAATCTCATCACATGGCAGTGCATGAGGCTGAGCAGCACAGCCACCATGGAGGTGCAGCAAGCCACAGAGCTCGAACTTCCCAGCGAAAGTTGGTCTTGGGCCGAAGTAGCGGTAGTGCTGGGATGGTCATTCTGGCTTCTCATGTTTTGCATGGGCGTGGCTTGCAGCTGCAGCAAACTATGCCTTTGGTGCCACCCGCTGGAAACCCATCGAGGCAGGAGATTGGCGGGGGACAAGGCGAAGAAAGACACAATAGAGGCCTCAGCGCAAACGATCTTATGCCCGCCTCCAAATTTCATTGGGGAACCAACACGTCATCGAAATCAACGGCCAACGACACCAGAGCCCAGGGTGGTTTACTCCACCTTCAAGCGGGGAGGGCAAAACGCCCTTCTACAAGACATGGTGACGCGAGCATTGCCAGTGGTGGAGCATGTGGACAAAAGAAGACTACGTGCAGAGACTTCAGAATGGTAGACGAGGTGCTGGGCAAGTGCATGGGCATAGGAGTCAGGGCTTTCTCGGTGAACAAGATGAAGGGCACGTCGCTCGTCAAACCAAAATTTGCAAAGGAGAAGGATCAGGAGAAGGAACGCTGAAGTCGGAAGAAGGACTTGCACAAGGTGAAGAAGCTCGGACGGGCATGGGCAGAGCAATGCAGGTAGCGGCATGCAAAGGAACTTTAGGAGAGGCCGTGGAGAAGCTGAAGGGCAACTTTTGGGCAGCGTCCTCAAAAGCTGCAAGAGATGTTGAGAGATACTGGCCAAGAGAGTCAACGGGAGCGACCTGGATCTGTTTTCGTTGAAGCAGCACGTAGTTGAAGGAGTGGCAGCGTGCTTGAAGAGTGCTGGAATGAAATCTGGCGATCAATACCTGAACGAGCTGAAGCTGGTGCATGTGGAGAATTGCTTCAACATGCCTCCATGGTTGATGAGGGTGATGGGACTATGCAAGAAAGCCATGACGAGAAACAAGGGACCCACGAAGAAGGCGATGGAGTTCAAGGTGGAGGACATCAAGGAGGATAGTTGGCAACGACTTGGGTCCGAGTTCGAGAGCGGCGTCAACCCAGCTCTGACCTATGTCTGGGCCTGTCTGTGGATGCGGCGTGAGATCGAGGCAAACGCATGCAGGTGGGAACATGTCCAAACAGATGCCCAAGGTAGGAGGGTGTCACTGTACACCCCTGTTTCAAAGATGGATCAAGGAGCACGTGGAGTCAAGAGAACCTTGCAGTGCTGTGGACAAGACCCATGCATGTGGTTTTGTGCTTGGAAGGTATGGGAAAGAATAGAGGCGGAAAACCCCAGAAAGAAGGCACGGAAGGGCTTCATTTCCGTGGACAAGTTGAAGATCCAGCTGTCAAAAGCAAAAACGATAGAAAACTGGAGAAGTGCTACGGGGCCCTCAGTGACAGGGCACTCAGCAAGGAGAAGTGGAGCCATGGAGCATGTGAGACAGGGACTCCAGATACAAGAACTTGCTTTCTTGGGACGGTGGAAATCAGCCGTGGTGTTGACCTACGCCAACGACGCCTTGCAGGACATGCCAGCAAACAGAGGGACGCAAGGAAGAGCAGAACCATGGGACGTTGAGATCAAGAAGTCACCATGGACGCCTATTCCCGCTCCGGGCACTCCAATGATCCAAGCCCCAAGAACACCAGCCCTGCAAGCACGTCCACAGCAAGTTGAAGTACCTCAACACTTCAAAGAGGAACTGGAAGAAAGTCCACAACAAAAATTGTCGGTTGCGGCGGTGGACAAGAAGAAGGGCAAGAAAACGTGGCACCAGGTGACCAAAGCCGGATGGCAGATTTCGCTGGCAAGTTGGAGTACGGCCTGCGGATGGAACTTCACCAAAAATCCGGACAAGGTCACTATGTCAGTAGCCTTGGTCTTCAACCAAACACGTTGTATCAAGTGCACCGAAGTCATGAAAGCCCGCGACAAAGTCAAGGAAGGACCGGGCAGCTTTCATGCAGAGAGATGCTGCAAAATGGTTCGATCCAAATGGTGGAATTCATGCTGATGCACTTGAAAGATCAAGCAGCGGCTGACACCATGCAAAAAGGACGCGGCAGCCCCGACAACTCCTTTGACATTGGAGGGTGGGTGGGCAGATATCCCACCACGAATTAATGTTTGAGAACAACAGAATGTTGTGATAAACATATGAATGAGTGCATGCAAGGGTGGAGGGTGGGCAAAACGCAGACTGGCCCAAAATAAGGGTGACTGTTCAAAGCCCATCCCAAGAAGACCCACCCAAAAGTCACCGAGGGAAGAACCTGGCAGCTTTCATGCAGAGAGATGCTGCAAAATGGTTCGATCCAAATGGTGGAATTCATGCTGATGCACTTGAAAGATCAAGCAGCGGCTGACACCATGCAAAAAGGACGCAGCAGCCCCGACAACTCCTTTGACATTGGAGGGTGGGTGGGCAGATATCCCACCACGAATGAATGTTACGTATTAATATGGCCTGGAACCTGTGCAAGTTTGGGCCTGCGGCAGTAAGGAATCATGGGAATCCCTTTGACAAAGCCCTATAGTCAGGAGCGCGATCAAGTTCGTCGTTTCATCACCCTCATTGACACTCTGTACGAGACCCATACCAAATTGGTTTGCACCGCAGCGCTCGATCCAATTCCATTGTGGCTGGGAAGCACAACTGCTAGGCAGAAATTCAGTAGAAACTGGTGAAAGGGTCAGGTCGTGAGGAAAGCAGTCTCCATAGACCAGGTTTCTATGTGTATGCATACATACATACATACATGCATGCATGCATGCATCCATCCATCCATCCATCCATCCATACATACATACATACATACATTTGCATAGAATTGCATACAATTGCATACAATTGCATATAATTGCATACAATTGCATACATTTGCATAGATTTGCATACAATTACATACAATTACATAAAGTTACATACAATTACATACAATTACATGCAATTACATGCTATTACATGCTATTACATGCAATTACATGCACTTACATGCGCTTACATGCAATTACATGCAATTACCTGCAATTACATGCAAATACATGCAACTACATGCAATTACATGCAATTACAAAAATACATACAATTACATAAAATTACATACAATTACATACCATTACATACAATTACATACAATCACACACAATGACATACAATGACAAACAATTACATACAATTACATATAACTACATCCAATTACATACAATACATACAATTACGTACAATTACATACAATTACATACAATTACATACAGTTACAAACAATGACATACGATTACATACAATGACATACAATGACATACAATTACATACAATTACATACATATACATACATATACATACATATACATACATCCATCCCTCCATCCATACATACATACATAGATACATACATACATACAGACAGACAGACATACATACGCACGCACGCACGCACGTACGCACGGACGTACATACGTACATACGTACATACTCGTACGTACATTACGCACATACGCACATACGTACATACGTACATTACGTACATACGTACATGCGTACATTTGTACAAATGTACATACGTACAAACGTACATACGGACATATACGGACATACTTTCAAACGAACGTACGCGCATAGGCACATACGCACGTACGTACATAGGGACACATACGTACATACGTAAATACGTGCATGCGTACATACGTTCATACGTACATACGTACATATGTACAAACGTACAGACGTACACACGTACACATATACACATTCACACATACACACATACATACATACAAACATACATACATACATCCATCCATACATACATACATACATGCATACAGACATACATCCATCCATAGATCCGTAGATGCATAGATCCATAGATACGTACGAAGATAGATAGACAGACAGATAGCTAGATAGATAGATAAATAGATAGATAGATAGATAGATCGATCGGTCGATCGATAGATAGATAGATAGATAGATAGATCGGTCGATAGATAGATAGATAGATAGATAGATTAGATAGATTAGATAGATTAGATTAGATAGATTAGATAGATTAGATAGATTAGTCTATTTATTTATTTAGTTAGTTAGTTAGATATTGCTATACCCCTGTAATGCTTACCAAAGGGGGCGGCAACGCCTGCGGCAGAAATTGAGAAATTGCGGGTCAGAATAGCGGGCCACCCTCCAGCCACTTTTCCCCGAACTAACTCTTGCAGCTCTCCCAGGCCCATCCCCAACTGTTTCCACCCAGGTTCTCCCAGGAAATCCCGGAAACCCCACAAAAGCGCAGAAAATAACACCCAGGTTCTCCCAGGAAATCCCGGAAACCCCACAAAAGCGCAGAAAATAACACCCAGGTTCTCCCAGGAAATCCCGGAAACCCACAAAAACGCAGAAAATAACACCCAGGTTCTCCCAGGAAATCCCGGAAACCCCAAAAAACGCAGAAAATAACACCCAGGTTCTCCCAGGAAATCCGGAAACCCACAAAAACGCAGAAAATAACACCCAGGTTCTCCCAGGAAATCCCGGAAACCCACAAAAACGCAGAAAATAATACCCAGGTTCTCCCAGGAAATCCCGGAAACCCACAAAATCGCAGGAAATCACTATTTTCCTGGGAGGACCTGGGAGAACCTGGGAGAACCTGCAAGTTGGGATTGCCCTGGGCAGACTTAGGCGGACCTGGGCCGACCTGGACGGGGGTAGCCTGAATAAACAACGCATATGTAAACCAGAGCAGAATTGGATAAAACACCACTAACGAATAGTGCTGAGCCAACACCGTTTTGATATGTATCCTGCACCATTCAAAAACCAGTTTTAACACCCAGAAACCCTCCAAAATTAAAACCCAGGCCCCAGAATCCTGATTTATATTATATGCATTACAGGGGTTTATCAAGTTAGATAGATAGATAGATAGATAGATAGATAGATAGATGCATGCATGCATGCGTACGTACGTACGTACGTACATACATACATACATACATACATAGATAGGCGTGGGCACAAGCTTAGCTAGCCACCATTTTCGCTCACCGTCTGCTGGCCGCAGTTTTATAAGGATACGTCCAGTAAGGATTCATCCTCTTCCTTTTGCATGCTCGCCATGGACGTTTCGATCTCCAGTACAAGCACATGTCTCCTTCCAGCTACATTTCTCTGCAGGCTCAGCTCTACACTGGTCCACGACCTTGCGGCAAGCTATGGTCACCTTGTATTTTTCTTTGGGTTTCTCTTCCAGCAAAGTTCTACTGCTTTGGCATTTCTCCATTTACAAGTTTCTGTATCTTGCACTATCAACTCCAGTTTCGAGACTATGGGGGAAGTCTTGCACATCGTCTCCAAGCTCGTTTTCTCCTATATGCAGCTGGAACGTACATTTCTCGTTTTGCTGAAGAGGGGTCCAGGACATTTTTCCTACTGACATCACTCCAAATTCGAGTCCGGCAAAGATCTACTACTTCACAACGTCGTCTCCGTTCACAATTCTCACGATATTTCACTGTCAACTCCACTTTCGAGACTCTGGGGGAAGCCTCTCCAACCTCGCTTTCTCCCATATGCAGCTGGAATGTACATTTTTCTTTTGCTGAACTTAGGTGCCCGTACATTTTTCCCAAGCGACATTATCCCTTTCCGGCGTGCCGGGAGACCACACTCACTCCTGCAAGTTACTCATCTCCTTTTTCTGGCACAATGCTCCAAAGCGAGAGACAAGTGGTCACGAACCCTGCTGTGGGTCACGGGGCCTGACTCCTTTTTAGTGGCTTTTTCCTTTCATTTGTATTTTTTTTTTTGGTGGGTAGGTTCCACCTAGCCAATTCCACCGGGCCCCATGTACTAGGGTGTAAATTGGCAGTATTTACCGGAGCCCACACTGTCTCCGTTTCGATGCAATTGACTTTAATGAACTTAATGTATTGGATCTTTTTTTTCTCCAGCAATTCCATTTTGACCTCAATTCATGTTCATTATTCACAAGTCTCAGACCAGGACTTTGCGTCCAATCTTTTTTATGTTGCATCCTACATTGTTCAGGTGCTCCTTCTTGCTACAGATCTCCTCCCAGATACACAGAGTCCAGGACTTTGCATCCAATTTTAGAAAGATACACCCTATAAATCTACATCCCAGAGTGACACCAAGTCACTCCCTGAGTCAAAGGCTCAAGGGACTTCAAGTGCGCTGCCCAAGAGGCACTGCAGCATCCTCCAAACTGAAACTATCCTCTCACTGTGTTTTTATTTCAGGTTTTGCCTTCAACTCACGTTCTTTTTGCAACTTGTTTTTCCATGTGGCTGACGGAATGCGGCTGCAGACGTGTGGTTCAACATGAAATACGTAGCACTTGTGACAAAATACATATACATATACGTGCACATATATATATATATACATATACATGTACATATGCATATTCATTAACATATTCATACACATACACATATACATTCACATATACATATACATACACATACACACACACATACACACACACATACAAACACACATACACACACATACACACACATACACACACACACATACGCACACACACACATACACACAGACACATACACACACACACACATATATATATATATATATTGTTCCTTTTGCGGACCGGAGGTCGGTTGTTCACCGGCATCCATTTCAGCCAGACTTTTTGAGGTTCTACGTTTCTGATGAGGAACGAAAAACATCTGTTGCTGATGAGATTTTCGCATGGGACCGTACTGTGAGTCGACTTATGGAATCTTGGCATCCTACCTGGTGTGGAGAGATAGGGGAAACACAGCAGAGGTTGATCTTGTCTGGCAGAGTGATGTGTAGCAATTCCCCTGGAAAGTTATGGGGTTGCACCCAATGATCAACTGAATCACTTTTGCCTTTCATCGACAGTTTTTTTGGCGGTGGCCTCTCAAACTGGGTGCAGCAAATCCAACGCAAAGTTCCATCGTAGTGCCATGGCCATGCCAGTGCCCACGCCCATCACTCCGCAAAGTTTTCAGTGGATCGGTGGACGATACAAACTGACAGAAGGTGAGCCCATCAGTTTGTTGCGTGGAGATCTGACCGTGACGGAGACCTACGGCAAGATGAAGTTTCAAAAAATGCAAGAAACTGAAGAGCGACAACGGAAGTTTGAAGAGAAGAAACGTCGCAAAGTGATTGACTTTCTGGACAAACAAGGTTTCGATCCTGTGGACTTGAACGCACCTGGAATGGAAACCAAAACATTTTGCTGTGGGATTGGGAAGCGCTTCTACCAGACAGCGCTACACAAAGCAGCAAAGGACCAGAATGTTGATATGATTTCGCTACTTCTTCAGTTTGGAGCTGACCCAAAGAGCAAGGACAGCAGTGGTAAAACCCCATTTGACTACGTGAAGTCGTCTTCTTGGCGGACGAGCTTGCAGATCTTGCACACCAAAATCCGCACAGAAGGCGCACTTTCTCTACTTTGAGTGGTCCAATCTGCGGAGTCCTGGACAATGCAGCAGGGAGGAGATGAATGGACGAAGGGGTCGTTTTCACAATCAAAGCAGTTGAAACATTGATTTATTGTAGCTGACGAGTGCTGGACACATATTCTTCATGGCGTTGCATGATATTGGATTTTCTTTTTAGTGAAGGCGAATGGATTCCAAAAGATGCTATCTAATCGGTGTCTGTTGATGCTCTGTACATCTAGGAAGCGCATGTTGAGCGGCTTTGTATACAGATGAATTAAAAGCCTTAAGCCAGGTAGCGTTGATAGCCAGCCCCTTCAGACCTATAGTGTGCACAAGGTGGATCCAGCCCCTTATGCTGTGGAAAGTCAATTTACCCGTACGACAGCCTTACGCACCTCCTTCCTGCAGCATGTCGGTCAAGTCCTGATGACATGGTCGAATAACTCGCATCAGCTTGGATCTGCAGAAGCGTTTTGATGTGGGGTTTGTCATGCTTTCTCATGGTTTCTCCAAAAATGGGGGGGGGCCCTCAATTTACGGCCACCTTAATGGGTAAAGTGATGATCAACCATTAGATTTTGAGTGCCCTATTTTGAGACAAGCCCATATTTCAACGGTCCAAAGAGGATGCAGTGTGTCAACCGTGCGATTCGCATTTCCAATCAGGGGCGTGCCCAAAAGCCAAACTGGGGTTGTCATTGTGTAGGAAATCAATCTTGTTTTTGTTTCACCATTACGGATTGTAGAGCTCATGAACGGGGATATCAAGTATGGGTATATCAACTGGGTAAATACGCGAAACACCTGCTAACAAGAACCGACATCATGGATTTCGAGGTCCTCGAATGAATGATTGCCTGGAATGATGAATGGAGCGCGTCAATGTGAGGAACTATTCATATGATATATCAGCGAGTTGGCTTCAATTTAGTGATAGGCCTTAGGCATATATGCCAACCATAGCGGGCTGCTTGTCACCCAGTTATTCCTGGTAGATGCGAGCAAGACTATCTTATCACTGTTTATGGTATTCCCATTATTAAAGCCATTACGCGTGGATTACGATCCCATTATGGTTGGCAGATGTTCTCATTACTCTTTCCTCGGTCTAGCATTCTGGAGCTCTATTGTTGCCGCGCTTGGCCCCACGGGACCGACAGCATCCGGCCGCAGGCCGCAAGTTTACGATGGATCTATCAATTTCCGACGTGCGGCGTCAATGGGCATTCTACATACCTAAGGCATAATCGCTTAACTATATATCAGCACGTCCGTTTTTCCGTCCATCGTCTGGAACGGATGTGGATGTGAGGGAGCGGAACGGAGTGGAAGAGGTGGTCCTACATCTTTGATTTTGTTGGGGCAGCATCTTACACATACAGATAGTAATACGTTAAACAAATAATTCAGTAAATAAATAAATAATTACATATATATATATATACATATATAATACATGTTACCAAATAATATGATGGACGAGGGCCGTCTTCATAAGATTGCGGTGGAAGAGATGTGTACAGAAAGAAGGATGAATGGAGGAGGGAGCAAATGGCTTTTAGGGTGCTGGACTGAAGCACACCCGAGGACGTCGGCATATTGCAGAACGATTTTGACCATGAACCAAACGGGAGCAAGCACATGCGCGGAAGGTACCAAACACATTTCTAGCACAAAACGCACAAATACCAAACCGGCAGGCCTTGCTTGGAAAAAGCGCTCGCCACACCAGGGGCGCAAAAAGCGCACGCCCCAGGCGCGCAAGAAGCGCGCGAAAAGCGCGCGTCTTTATTAGCCCCAGGAACTGAAATACAGGCCCAAAGCAAAGACATGCGACTACCGTTTGGTTCCGCAATCAATAGTTGTAGGTGGTTGCAAGCAACGGAGGCAACATTTTGACAGAAGCTGGAATACAACCTCAAACAGGAATACGCAGACTGGGATGATTTTCCGGCAGTATACTGAACCCATAATATAAAGAAGGTGGGCGCCCAAAGGGGCGCCAGGCGCGCGAAAACCGCCTAGACCGCATGTGACGGAAAGAGGTATACAAGCTGAAGGCCCAGGAGACGGAATGGTGTGAGCTTATGTTTTCACTGTTGCAGTCTAATGCATTTGGGTTGGCTGCTCATTGAGAAAAGATTTGAAAACATAGTTTTTTGCAGATTCTTTAATATTCGGAGGGTTCCTCAATATGGCTTCCATCTGGTTGAAACGGCTTTGCGGAGACTATTGAAATTGTGGAGTGCCGGTGGGCCTAACTTAAGACTTGCGTGTTGTTGTTGTTTTTCGTGCGTGCTATGCAGAGCTTGAAAGAACAAGCAAGCATGCCGGAACAAGAATGGACGCTTCAAAGGCCACCCTGGATGCAAATACATGGCAACACAGAACAGCTGCATCGCCAGCACCTCTAGACCTAGGCAATCAGAGGCCTTAATCCGGGCACCTTCCAAAGCTGTTCCGGGCATTCTGGATTGGGAATCCCACCAAGGAGGGTTTCGCCGTGAAACCTTACTTGCTTGGGATGATTCAAAATGCCGAATCCCACTTGGAAAGCTTAGATAGCTTGGATTGGCCACATTTACAAGAGAAGCAGCTGAGGCAACAATGTTTCTTCTGATTCCGAATCCCACCAAGCAGGGTTTCGCTGTGAAACCGTGCTTGGGATGATTCAAATCCATCAAAAGGACCAATACAGTTGAGATGACACGGGACTTGGTGGCATAGCCGCTGGAAGAGAAAGTGTTTCTACCTTTCGGCTTGTCAAAAGAAGATATAGAAACGATAAGCAGTACACAAATTTGAGCGAACCAGTTAGACTTTAGAGTGCCACATAGTTGGGCACAAATTTGCCGGCAGCACAGAAAAGATTTGCGTCCTCTGTGATGGAGCATGCACGTGTTTCTTCAGCCCAAAGGCCCAAAGGATATCAGCTCTTGGTGCAAGCAATGAACGCTATTGTTTCGCCCACGTCGCAGATCAAAATTCAAGCTTTGTGCTGCTGACGGCTACAGCCGGGAAGAATGGCTGCGTGCCACACTGCTTTGTGGCCAACTGCTATATTCGCGTTCCGTCGCGTAGCAGCATAGTGTTGTATGTAAGTCCTCCGCCATGCCCTTTACAGTCGGCTTTGTCGGGCTGGTCTGGTGTTCTCGTCTCAACTCCAACCTCATCGGCATTCTCCGCCTTCTTCCCTTCCATTGCATCACGGCAGCTTACGCTTGCAGGGCCCTAATGCCTTTGGTGATGAAGCCGAAATCCAATTCCACAATGGCCAAGTCATCTACAACTACCTCTGCTAGACTCATGACATGTGAGTGCGATGAAAGTTTCCAAACTTTCTCTTGAAGTCAGCTCAGCAGTGGCAAATCCAGACACCGCACGGCTATCACCTTAAGACGCAATCCGAAATTCCGAAATTCACCGGCTGCGCCTTGACGCTGGAGATGTCAACCTTTGACTCAAGATGCACCTGCTCCCATGTGCTGGACTTGAGTGGGAGGTGGATGGCGCAATTCCATTGCCTAGTGCGTGCAGGCTGATGCCAACAGGGGCCCCAGAAGTCATTGGGCTGCAGACATGCTCTGGCAACGGCTTCAGGTGTTCTTAGGGGGCCCAGATAGGAATTCAAAACGCTGATGGCGAAATTAGGGCTCATGGACTGCGGCGTACAGACCGCCACAGGTTCTGCAACAATGTTCTCCAGCACTTCAAATTTCACAAGCGATCAGTTGAAGTTTGCTGGTGCGACGACAGAACATGTGCAGGTGAAGCATGAATTCTGAGCCTTTTGGTTCCCTATCGCTATCGGCCTACAGTGTGCTCTTGAGCCGCTCAGCATCAGTGAAAACGGCCTTACTTGATTGCAATGTGACAATGTGTTCCTTCAACTGCCCGGTCATCTTCTCAGGGACGGTGCTTGCCCGTGCCGGGCGGGATGACTATAGCGAAGCATTGTTGCCAAGCAAACTTCACCTGGAACAGAGGAAGCGCCTGCTCCCGTTTGATCTTATATTAGATGGTCTGATAATTAACGAGTAAGTTCCACAATCCAAAACAGCAATTTAAAGAAAACATTGATAATCGATGATTTATAGACGATTACAGTTCTTACCAGGTGTCATTGTGTTTGCAACTCTTTCAATTTAAGCTGTGTGGTTCATTCCGGTTCAACCTGGATGGACCCATCGCCAATGGTGGCGACGATGTAGGGGCTTGTGTTTATCCCAGTCGGTTTTCCCCTCACGGACGATGGGGCTGAATTCTGATGGCCTGAAGAAAAGGTTCGGTCATGATTTTTTTTGCCATGTTTTTTGCTTTCATACTATTGGTCGATGCAAATTCGCTTCGCAGCTAGAGAAAACAACCAATAGCCAACCCCACAGTCAAACTGCTGTTCCTACATAGTGGCTGTTGTTTCGAAGTTGTGGGAACGCCCCTGTCAATACTTTTCAGGTCGTGGAGCACACCAATCAGGGTGATGATTGCCCAGTAAAGTGGTGCCCGATTTTGTGGATCAGTTCATGACAGTGCTGCAGTGGCGCTTACCCTTCAACTTGAGTTGAACCACGTGGTTGTTTTCATGCTTGGTTTCTTGGCTACACGGTAGAATGATTAGAATGTATTTGATGTTTGGCACCGGTCACAAAATAGGGCACCCAAGCAATGACACGACCTGCAATTTGCAATCTGCAGCTCCCGTGCTGGTCATTCAACGAGTTGAAAGGCCAGTGTGGCACAAGAACACTGGTCCCTTGATGCTTTCTCCAACAGGATTTTGTGAAAATTCGGGGCACGTCCAACAGAAGTGCTAGGATTGCTTGGATCATTTTGGATCATCTTGAGTCATCTTGGATCAGGTGAAAGCATTGAATTTGCGATGCTGTTTGTGCTTTGGGGCGTATTTTTTGCAGGTTGCAACCTTTGTTAACTTTGTTGTTGTCCGCGAACCGTGAACTGGTACGAACAAGTACATCGGTCCTTGGGACACGGCAGACACAGACCCAGCGGCGCAACGGGCTGCTGGCCACAATGCGAAGGGTTTTGTGTCCTGTGAAGAAGTCTATTTAGTGTAGCTCTTCATTAGACGCAACTCAACCAGAAACGCGAATCTGCATTACATAATTGATCCTTCCGGCTGCAAAGAAGCATAAGTCGTTATAGCTCTCCACACGGGCAAGAGACATGTTTTTTTCTCCGCAGTCTTGAGGGCATTAAAGGACTATCGGCACCATATTACTCTGCTGAAACGTTCCTTTATCGCCGTTGTTTATATAGAGGGCTTGCGGGCTTGATGAGACCATGGCTTGAATAGACTGCAAGGCAGGTGGTTGGCAGATCATGGATGATTCCAAATTTCTTGACGTTTCTCACCGCTACTTCTCATCTTTTTTGTTGGCAAGGTATGGCAAGGTATAGGATCCGGGTAAGCTGCCTGGGACTCATTGATTCCTCTTGAGGAAAGGCTCCGAAACTGCTCCGTTATAAGCCGAAGAGATCTTCAGCTCTGGGAAACCCGTCGTTTCGCAGCCATGTAGCGTCGTGTAGCATCGTTTCGGGGGCGCCAGGCGCTACGCGGATGTGGATCAGACGTTCCCAGCAGCATGGCGCTGGGGACCAATGTTTTCCAGTTGTTAGTGAAATTCGAAATGGAGGTTTCCATAAATGGGGAATCCCCAAAATGGATGGTTTACAATTTATAATGGAAAATCCTACTAAAATGGATGATTTAGGGGTACCCCCATTTTATGACCCCCCAAATGGGAGTTTCCGTTTTGTGATGGGGGTACCCGTTTTGAATCATCCAAGTCAGACCATATTGAATTAGACAATTTTCGTATAGGTAGGCATGGTGACGACTGGGGATCCCTCGATTTTAGAAGCCTCTCCATCGGCGAGTCCCAACGAACCGACACTTCGTGGGCCTAGCTGAGTCTGCAAGTTCCGCGAAATGGCTTGAAAATCCAAGGATTTGTTCCAACATGTATGGGGAAAAGAAAGTGCTTTTGGCATATTACAGCCAGGATATCGGGGAAATCAGGATTTGCGGGTTCCAACGGTTTAAAGTTTGACCCATACCCAGGTTTCATTTGCCTATGAAAATGGATGATGATTCTGTTGTGATGCCGCTGGGCCCCTGAGCCTAGCTGATCTTTGGTGAAGCAAAGCCGATGAAGCCGACGGATGATTACTCCTTTTGCACGCAGAAACAGAGGCGTTGCGGCGTGCGACCACTGAGATATAAAATGATGTTATCCACTTCACATGTCAAGGGCAAAAAAAGGACTAGTTCAACTTCTATATCTTCTATGAACTTCTTGTCTCGTTGTTTTTGGAGCCAGGTGTAATTCCAAAGCTTTGTTCACAAACATGGCTGTGATATGCTATGATGGAGAATTTGTGAAACACTAAGGAGATGCAATCGACAACATATTTGACAACTACAGTACGGTCTTTGAGTGGCACGCAATTTCTTGGACAGTATAAGCTCAAGAGCCTATCTGACCAGGACAAGTCCGACTAGCCATCAGCCAGCATGAAGATCCACTAATTGAAGAAATGAGGTACAACATGGTACAAGCCATTTTGGTGATTTAAGAGTGGGCAAAATCTGGCACAACCCTCTTTGGAATGATCTACTGTATATCTATATCCCTCCAAATGGATCTGAATGGTTGATGGACAGTCGATCATAGCATAGCCTTTACCTGATTAGTGTAACTGTCCTATAACAAACAGGTTGGCAATATTCCCAGTCGCTGAGCAGGACTTCAAAGATATGTGGCGTCGCTACGACCAAGATGACAATGGCTATTTAGACATGGATGAGTTGCACATCCTACTGGAAGATTTGCTGGAACGTCAATGCGGACACAGAAATTTGTCAGATGCACCTTGGATTTGGATCAGGCTGTAGCTACCGGGCTACCGGGCTGTCGCATAGGCAGATTAGGCAGGTAAACTTGCTTCACTTTTCAAGATTTTTATCGCAGTGAAGCCTGAGCCCACTGCGAGGAACTTTTTGACATCTGTGTGAACATCATTGACAAGAACAAGGATGGCCAAGTGAGCTTTGATGAATTTCAGGAATATTTGTCCGACTTCTCGACAATCGAATCAACTATGGGCAACTCCTGAATATCGGGGTTTTCCGACCATGTCAATCCGACGCGCGATGTGGATGATAAATTGTCGTGTTCTGTGATTCGAGGATTTCAAAACCAATTTCTGTTGGCAAATGTTGGGACATCTACCTTGGCAACTCAAGGAATGTGTGCATTTTCAAGGTGCAACTGGAAGGAACGTTGAGAATGGACAAGTTTCAGGGTAGAGATGGTTCATAGCAAAACACCCCTTTTCCCGACCCTTTCGGATCAAAAGTGGAAGACCGTGGAAGATCTTTGGAAGGTATAAACAACCGAAGGCTTTCCTTTGCAGTGTATTGAAAAACATTGACGAAACCAAACAATTCACTCTCATATTTGATTTGCAATGCAGACACATGTAAATGAGGGCCCAAATTGGGTTTTCTTTTATGGTTTTTGATGCTGGCGACCCAGTTCGCATAACGCCAACTCTTGGTACCAGAGCCTCTGCCACGGCACCTGCGACAAGTTCTGCAACGCCACCTCGTCCGAGCCTCGTTTCTCACCGATGTGCCAGCGCAGCAACTTCAGATCTTTCGTCAACCATACAATCGGCAGTTTGTATTCACACTATAATTTTCGTTTCTCATTACTGATAAAAGGTGAAAGGGGTGGATTCAAAAACATGAATGAATGAACCAAGCCGACAGCTTGAGCAAATTTGACCCAGGATTAATGATGAATCAACCTCTGGTTTATTCAGAATGGGTACCAATTATTTTGGGGCCGAGCCATTCGATTAATAGTCAAGGTTTTAAAGATGTTTAGAGTCTAACCCAACCCGGGCATTATCCAATATTCATCAATATTCACCATTCCATTTTTACACTCATTCACGGGTGCCTGGGAAGATAAGGACCCCCCCACTGTCAGGGTTGAGGACATTTGAAGGTGTTGCATCTGAGGTGTCCGCACCATGGCAGCTGCAGGAAGGACTGACAGGTTCATTTTGATTTTCGTCAGGGAAGCTTTCATTCATGGTCTTTTTGTAGCCTTTCAATATTTGTGCTTCTAGAAATCGTTTGTCGTTTTCATTTCATGCCAACGTGCTGTCATCGCAGGACCAAGTTCATTCACGTCGATCGAGACATGGCAATTCATAGTACCTTTACCCATGCAATCCATGCAGCATTGCTAGGGGAACTTCTCGCTGCATTGGCGCATCACTCATGTCACTAGTTCATGAGATACCAGAAAATGATGGCAGGGCCGAATCAGACACCACAAATCTGGTTCCTGATTCGTTCGTGTTGGTTCCCGATCCCATTCCCGATTCGACATGATTCGACTGCCGGTAAAGTTCTAAAAGTGACTACCTGTGCGGCCTGTGCGGGAACGTACTCCACAAGGTCAACTACCACTGTTGTTTCCTAAACCATAGTGATCCATAGTAAGTTGAGGCAACCAGGAGGGCACATAAATCTTTACTGCATTATGCAACGAACAGTCTAGCCCGAGACGATCCCGGGTCTATTCTTTGCCGTCGTTTCGATATAAAAATCCCAAACTTTGCCCCGCTCACGCAGTCCATGCCTGGGTCACGCCCAAGTTCAGAACCCCACAATTGTGAAAGTTTCTTATTCCTCAGTGGTCTAGATGCGAAAGGTACAATGACTTTCCCCATAGATGCCGGTGAAGAGACGTGTCCGGCGTGCAAGAATGATAGTTGCAAGTTCCACGGTGGTGTGCGGACTTGGCTGCATCATACTCAGAACAGCTGTGGGCTATGCACCGTAGGGTTTTTTCCGGGTTTGTTCTGCCGCTTATTTGCTTCTAGTCGCAAACTTCTTATTTGATATCTATGGCCCTACCAGATAGCCGACAGTTGGGCAGATGTAGGTGAAGGGACCTTTCGTAAGCGCTATGAAGTCCAGCCTCAGCATCGCGTCGCAAGTTGGAAGGTGGAGTGAGAACGTGTTCATTCTAAGAACAGCCAAGAGCACTCTAAGCAGCACAGCGTTGCAGCCGGGACTTTCGCTTGTGATGTTATCATTGTGCATGTGTCTCACCAAAGCAGTATTCAAAGGCGTTCAAATCATTTGCACAGGGTGCATCTACGTGAAAAAGCGTTCAACCAATATAATCTACACGCGCTAGCGTTAAGTCGTATCAGCTTGTAAAAGTCGTATCGGGAGGCCGTGCGCCTGGAAAAAGTTCAAGTTTGGCACCACCACAACTTTTAGTAATTGAACGATTTCATTGTTTTGGGGCCGTGCGCCGGGAAAAAGTTCAATTTTTGCATTGCATTGATTTTGATAATTTATATTTGATCATTCTTTCAAGGGGGCAAACGCCGGTTGCTGATTGCTTGCTGCTTGCTGCTCCATACTGCTGCTTGCTGCTACTTGTTGCTGCTTACCTGCTGCTGCTCACTACTGCTGACCTGCTGCTCACCTACTGCTTGCCTGCTGTTGCTGCCCCTTGCTGCTGCTTGCTGCCCCTTGCTGCTGCTTGCTGCTGCTTGCTGCTGCTGGCTGCTGCTTGCTGCTGCTTGCTGCTGTTGCTGCTGCTTGCTGCTCCTTGCTGCTGCTTGCTGCTGCTTCCTCCTGCTGCTGCTTCCTCCTGCTGCTGCTTCCTCCTGCTGCTGCTGCTGCTTCCTCCTGCTGCTGCTGCCGCTGTTCCAAAATTTTGCCGAAAAAGAAAATAACAGTCTCGGTCGCCTTGTTTGGCGCTGGCGGGAGGTAGGGGCGGGAGGCACCAGCAGAGAGAGGGAAGGTTTCTGGCTGGTTGGAATGAAGCATTGCAGTCGGATAGCGCGGTTGTTTCGCTGCGCTCACCGAACAGACACAACAGACGGCGCAGACGGAGCACCGACAAAACTTGCCACGCTTTCTGCCCGCAATGGAATGAAGTTTTGTTCCAACTCGTAATGGCTGGGCGGATAGGGCAACAAACTTCTTGAGAGCTGTCCACGACATTGATGCACATAGCGCCAGCCATAGATTTGGTTGCGGAAAACCAGGGCCCCCCATATCCTTATATCATCCTAGATCATAACTCTGCCAATAGGATTTGTTACAGCTAACCCATTTGCATTGCAAGAAATTTGAGGCTGTACCAATACGGGTTTGATTTGGTCACGCGACGCAGGATACCAATATAATATAATTCAAATCCAATAGGATTAGCTGCCGAAAATTTGTTTGTATTAACTTGTGCCCTTCAAAATCATCGCTGTGCGCAATGCCTCGGCTACTTTTAACTAAATCTCTAAGTATAGATGAAACAGGCTATTTCATGGTAATTCTTCTTCCTTGATGTGACTTTCCACTACCTGATATGACTTCTCCGTATCGCCGCCGTGCCATGGGGATGATGTGACTTTTCCCGCATGATGAGACTTAAATACGGTACTTATGCGTAATTTCCCCTCCCCTTAAAAGGTAAGGGTATTTATTTTAAAATTTAATAATAATATATCTTAAAAAATATATATATAATTCGAATTTATTTATATATATATATATTTTTAAATTTATATATATATATATTTGAAATTTTTATTTTTTAATTTATTAAATATTTTTAAATTTATATAATTATTTATTAAAAATAATTAATAATT